AAGAAAAAAAGAAAAAAGAAAAACAAAAGCAAAAAGCAAAGCAAAGCAAAGAAAAAAGCAAGGTAAAAGGGATATACCTCCGAGAGACAGATTTAGATCCCCTCTCTCCAATAAGCCCAGAGGAAGACCCCTTGTCTGGAGATGAGAACGATCCCAATTATATTATCAGGTCCGGATGCTGTACACTTGTCTCCAGTCATCCAACAACTTCTTTATATCTGCTCCAACAATGTCCAGTAAAAACCCAAAATTTGATACCAAAAATAATAAAATTGGCGGCGCCCCTGACGATCAAAGATCGCTCCAGCCCGGGAACGTGGATTGCTCTTCGGTCCCTCCAGCACGATCGCGGCTCGGAAAGGAAAATCCCTTCTAAACGCCGCACCTGAAATATTCCCAAATTGTCATTACGGGTGGCTGAGATAGTGACACTTTTGCTTTATGATGGTTCAGTGCACACAAACTTTGTTTCATACACAAAATTATGTAAAATATTGTGTCTAAAATTATCTTCAGCCTATGTGTATAATGTGTATATGAAACATAAATGAATTCCATGTTTAGACTTGGGTTCCCAAGATATCACATTATGTATATGTGAATATTCCAAAATCTGAAGAAAATCTGAAATCCAAAAATTTCTGGGTCACAAGCATTTTGGAAAAGGGAAACTCAACCTGTACAATAGATAAAAACATTAAATGCAGACATTAAAAAAAAAACAGGCTGAAAACACATCTTAAAAATAATTTCTTGCTGGAAACTGAAAGTGGGGGAGGCTAGCCTCCCTTCCCTTGACAGGGAGTTCCACAGCCTTGGGAGCTGCTACAAAGAAGGCCCTTTAGAGATGCTTGTAAGCCATGAGTCTTGGCTTGCAATGTAAAGTATGTGTTTCTCTTGATCATAGAACAGACCACATAACTTCATGGGTATATAACAAACACCCAAGCTGATAATGTTGACGGTTTCGCAAAGCAGCTTCCAGCCTGTAAGATTCACTTCAGGAATAAGGTGTTCCTTAAGAGGAAGGGAGACTCCTTGGCCCATTTGGCCTCTGAAGCCAGGGAGCTGGTCTTTGCCTGACTTATTTTTGTGCCCTTGCCTCCTGATTTCATATCCCGCAATTC